AGCGAGGAGCTCAAGGACGCTGAGTGGCTGATGCTGGGATTGATATGAGCGTGCCTCTCCAGCAGAGGCACAAACATATAGTTGTCCTGGTGACATGATCCTGCAAACACACACCAAGTGAGAGGGTATAATATTATAATGTTATTAAAGTATCTTTACTGTTGCTTTTTCCTGGAGAGCATCCTGCCACTCAACCTACGCGCACTGTTTTTCAAATGATCAATGGGAATACATAACAGCAGTACATTATGTTCAGATAAGTAAAAATAATAGGTGACCACAGCACACTCATTACTCAGCTCTCTCGTGTTCCTGCACTCATACATTTTTAACGTGTATTTAATATTCCTTTTTACCCTCTGATACTTGACACGAATGGGGAACAATTTGGCCTCTGTCTTTTCAAAACCAACGGAGAGGCATCTGATCAGGTTGGATGTCCTTTTAAAAAGCAGTTACATGTCAAATAAACACTACACCAACAAGACACATGATCTTACTAATTAAATACATATTAATGATTTCAGAAATAAATAAATTGTTTTTTATGTTTTTTTTTTAATGTTAATTTGTTTTAGCAAATGTAAATGTAAAAGTCTTAATATGATTTAAAGTCTATTTTATACACTTTCAACCAACACAGTGTTATATGCTAAATGTTCCTCTAACAAAGTGTATGCTTAGATTGTGCTGAAAATATCAGCACAATAGGGAGATGAATGACCAAATGAATGTAATAAATGGGTATTTACCATTTCCCCGAACAACCACTACCATTTTGTTGCAGTAATTGCTTTATTACACAATGTAGAGACTACCATTGTGAATCCAAAACAGGTCACTGCTAGGTTAACCAAGTTACTATACACTAATGCATTTTCATTTGTTTACAATAATTTGTATTCAGTGTGTGCTGATGTGTGCTTCCTCCCTCATGTATGCATTCAGCTTCATTAAAACCAACAGGTAGAGCCGGGGGGGCTGCACTCTGAGTCCAAACAACATGACTCACCTCCATCCAGATTAACATTACATCTCAGAAGTTATTCAGCACAGGTCCAACAGCGACATCTCCCCTCAGCATCCCCTCTCAAAGGAGCCCACAACAAAACAACAAATGTCTGCCAGACATGCTGGTGCGAACAGTACAATATTAAAATGCTAATGTTTATGGTTAACATTGTGACAGCAACAGCAATTACAACCAGAGGGCTGTGAAACCAAAGCCTGCAAGAATGGGGGTGTTGTAATTCATAAAAAAATGCAGCAGTAATGTGTTTGTGTGAATCCAAAGTAGAGTTTAACCAGGTCATTATGCGTTCACTGAATAAGTGCAATTTCTCAGCTCAAACACCATTAACAGAGATTACTGCAAATCATTGCCAAATAAATAATATTGCCAGATAAACCTCTCCTACCAGAGATTCAGACAACTGGTCAGACAGAATAACTTTCCCTGAAGAGTGCTTGGCTTGCATAACAGCTGTGTGGTCTAAGTGCAATAATATAGTGTCCTGCTCATGTCTGCAGATCAATTGATGAGCAGGTACTTCCTGGCACATGATTATTTATTCAACACATGTATCCATACCAGCATACACCATGACCACCACAGCCACTGTCTAATACTAGGACATAATCACTGATCTAAAATAATACCACAGAGATATCTAGTGCTTTTTTGATAACCTTAGGGGATAGAATAATATAATAACAGTATGTGTGTATAATTACTTTACAATATGGAAATATTAACAGCTGATAGAGCAAATTGATTTACTTCGAGTGCAACCAGGTGGATTTCCTCACCAGCAACTTGATAATTAAATAAAAGAGGCATTAGTGTTTATCACATATAAGACAAGGGGAGTACGGAAGGCCTTTATACTGCAGTGTTTCCATTACATGATGGCTGCTTCAATTTAGTCTGCAAGCTGTGAATCACTTAAACAGCTTACATTACTCGGCAGTAATTACTTAAGGCCACATAAATGTCTCATAGCACTCTTGTCTCCTTCTCTAATGCAATGTGTGCAGATACAATGTTGGGTTCTTTCATATCTTCCAAACTGCAATAAGAAGCAAACAGTTGAGGCTTCAAGCATAATTCTAAACAATGACTTTAAATGTCAAACAAAAAGGATCAAGACTTCATGCAGAATGTGATGCCCCCCAAAACACCACAGAGAGCTTTCATTGACAAAAAAGGGACATTTTAAGTAGCTACTTGAATGTTGAGAGTCTATCTTCTGATGCTTCTAGAAAAAAAAAAGAAATATAGTTTTCCAAGTGTCTATTAATTATTTTGGGTTATGTTTTCCTAAGACTATCAATGTATTACAACAAAGACCATTACACAAAGGTTTTTTTTTCCTTCCGGGTTCACTCATAACTCCTCAATTAGTCCAGGAGGACGCACCCTTTGTCAGGGATTTCTTGGATATCTTTGCTACACAGTCACTTCTTAGGAGCGACACAAACACATGGGGTAAGGGGGCAAAAGCTGAAGGATCTACACCTGCGTCAAAGTCACGATGATGTAAACCTTTGACCCAGCTTCCAGCGGAGCCACCACAGAGTCTCTGCACACCACTGAACGTTATCCACATGGCTCAGGACAGATGAAAACACTGTTCCATTAGCTATCATGAAATAACCACAGTTTGGCCCTTTTCATCTTCGCCTGGGGGAGTGGTGATTTAGATCAGCTAATAAAAGCCATGGCATTCATGCATTAGCTAGCTCATTAAACTGAATGATGTCGGAGATGTTTGTTGGATTTACCTCACAGTCACGCTCCCTTTCCTTCCTTTCTGTGACTGTCTACGTCATCACAACATTACAGTAAGCTTCCCTGAATGCTGCTGTGCAAACATGCCAGGGTAAAAAGAGCACACAACACTGAAATGACACATAAAGTGCCTTTTGTATCTTCTTATTCTATTTAATGACCAATTAATCTGGCTCTCATTAAGGAAACTGATATAAAGGAGGCGCCCATGTGTCGCTTCATTAATAAATAAATCATAAAGGATCAGCTTTCATCAAGTACAGTTTCATAATGCTTACTGAATTAGTCTGCACTCATGAAGCTTCTACGATTTAATTAATATATATATTATTATGGACAACTGCTAACCAAGTTAAAAAAGAGTTCATTTTAAATAATTATAGCGCTGAGATGTTCTTGTTGCAGAACTGAAGCTGTGTCAGAGAACCAACATTATATTGAACATTTTTAAACATGTTGTAAGACATTATTAAAACATATTTTTCTTTTCTTTTCAATAAATTGAATGCAAAAACACAAATTATTAAACAAACATATCAGGTCATATTTAGTGCTATTTGTTCAAGTTAGTTTTATAGCAGCAGTTGTAGCCTATTGTCAATCATTGCTTAACTATTACTCAGTGTGAGATAAACCTACCTGAAGAGCTGCCAAGAGCCTGGGACACCTTGACTTCCATTGCATGAAGACTACAGGTGCCTTCAGTACAAATCCCCCTTCAATACGTTTCTGAGTGAAAACTTGTAGAAAAAGCTGTGCAAATTCATGATGCTGCCATTCACCGTGCAGCACTTTGAGCTGTGATGAAGCCCCGGCTGTGCAGCGAAGATGAATGGGTGGAGTTTAAAGTGTTGTCGGGTTAAGCAGGATAGAAACAACACTAAAACTCTCAGGTTATTGATTGTACAGCATTGATTTGGACGGAACTGCTGTATTGAGAATCACTCTCATCATATGGGGCTTCCTCATTTTGTCTAAGCCACATGATTGATAACAAATTATAACCAGGAGAGGAGGGATACACTCTTTTAAAAAGGTAAGTTTGCACTGAGTTTAATGGCTTTCATTAGCATAATTATATTATATATATATATATATATACTGTATATATATATATATATATATATATATATATATACACT